CAAAAGAGAGAGCAGGAGGTCGTCCACGTAGAGCCAAGCTTTGTGCGGCTCAGGGGGCATTAGGCGGTGGAGGAGCCGTAGTAGCAGGGCTCCGACCCGCTGCCACCAGTAGGCGGAGAACCGGGCGCCGAAGTGGCAGACCATATAGGCATATAGGCGGCCTGCATTTCGGAAAAGCAGTAGGCCTTGGTCTGAGCGGCGGACCTTGACCCGCTTGTGGGCAGCTTTGAAGTCAAGGGCGGCTCCTTGCGAGGCATTGGGCGGATCGTGAGGCTTGAAGGTGGCGCGCACATCGGCGGCTGTAGGTAGGCAGACCCTTTCGGGCAGTGTGCATCGTGGGTTCACGTTGCACACTGAGCTATCAAGGACCATCCTGGGGTCTTTGCCATCGGCCTGTACCACGTTGAGCTTCCCTATGGCGATGCCTTTAGGCCATTTGGCGCGGGCTTCCTGTTCGCCCCAGGAATTTCGATGACCCACCCCTGGGCCATTTCTTCTTCAATTAGGCGCTGGAGGAGGTCAGGCTGGGCCTCGGCGTTCTTCCAATTGGTGTCAAACTCTTTGAGGCAGGTGTCTAACGGGTGTTGGGCCTGTTGGGCGTCAACGGCAGGCCATTGGTTACTGCTGACAATGGGCTCGAAGACGCCCGTGGGCACTCCTTGGGCCAGGACGGAGGGCAAGTGCATGTCTATGTCCTGGGTAATGCGCAAGTGTGATAGAAGGCCGAGGCGAAAGGGCTGGCCCTCTTCTATGGCAGAGGCGGATTGCGGCGGTAGGTTCAGGCTGGCTGCCGCCATTTGCAGTAGCGAGCCCTGTTCCTCTTCGGAGAGGGGATGTTCGGGCTTGCTCTGGGCGATATGCGCGGCAATGCGCTTGTATCGGTCATCTTGCATGCACCAGGCCTGCATTTGTTCAATGAGGGGGGCTAGGCAGGCTTGGGGCGTGGCTGTCATCGAGGAGTCGGCGGTGCTCTGAAGGCCCGCGCCGTCGCAGGCCGGTGCCCTTGGTCCGGGGCCAGCCATGTGCTGCGGCATGGCCGGCTCGAGAGGCAAGGGGATCGCGGTTGTTGGGGCAGAAGTTGGCCACATATGCTGGAAGGCCTGAAGGAGGCTGCGGGCGAGCGCGGCGGGGTTTTTTCAGCTGTGCTGGAGCTGATGTACCTGCCCGAAGTGTCACGCTTGTTGCGCAGGGATGGGTGCTTGAAAGCGTGGGCACAGTTGTGCTGCACTCCTCTAATATGAGGGCTGTTGGAGGCGAAAGCCCAAGATTTGGAGGCCACGTGGGCAGCTGAGGCACGCAAGAGTTGTTGGCATGAGGGCTCCAGCCAGGCCATACTGGAGGGGGGGTTTTCAAGGACCCAAGTTCCCCCCGAGGATGCAACCGCTCGGCAGAGTTGGTGGCACCGTTCGTGTATGCGGCGGCTTTCTTCGGCTTGGCGTGCGAGCACTGGGCTATTGGAAGGCAGGCCATTGAGGTGCTCGGGTGTGCGGCACGGAGGGGGGCCCCCCGGTGCGAGCTTGAGCACTGAGTAGTCTCGGCAAGGTGGGGCCGCCACTAGGAGGCAGGCGAGTGAAGAAGGCATCAGAGAGTATGTCGTGTGCTTCGTCAATGGCAATGTCTATGGGAGCCCAGTGTGGGATGCCCATTTGTGAGGCGGCTGCGGAGATCGGTGCGTGCTTGCCTGCAAAGAGGTCTACGAGCACCCTGGCGGGGGCATCTAATTCCGGCGGCTTTTCAGCGCACGGCTCGCGTGCTGCATGGGCCGCATCCCGTCTCCAAACGAGATTGCGGAAGGTTGGGGAATTATTCATTGCCCCGTGTGGGGCCGGGCTGGGCGCCACGTCCAAGGGCTGATCTCTGCGCGGTGCATCCGCATGGGAAAAGGCTGTGAGGGGCCGTGTTCTCCCTGGCGGGCTAGACGGGGCCCCGGCGTGATGGGCTTAGGGCAGGCTTGCAGGCTGGGTGCTTTTGTGCGCATCCGCGCACAGTCTCTGGATGGGCTTGGCGGATTTGGCCTCCATGTGCTCCTGGTATTGCTTGGCGGAAAGGCGGAATTGCCAGGGAATCCATCGCAGCTTTTCCCCTGGTTTGAGGCTGTGGTGCACTAGGCTGAGTAGGCGGATACTGGGCATGGAGTCTTGGTCGAGCAGTTCGCAATTGGCCTTGAATTTGTCGATCATATCCTGGACTGCTTCTTGTGTGAGGCGAGGGGGCAGGTGTTCCATCCACTGGGATGGTTGAGAGGGCAGTGCAGAGGCGGAGGCTTGGGCTCCCCCGGGCGAGTCCGTGCCGGCATCAGGGGTGTGGGTCTTCTTGTGGCACTGGTCCAAGGCTTTGCGTAGGCGGGCGATTTCGACCGAGGACTCGAGGTCCCCGGTCGTTAGGCCTTGGGCTGTCGACTCGGGCAAGGCATTGATGAAAATCGATAGGCGGTCGACGCTGGGGAATGCCCAGGCAAAATCGGATATGCTCTGATAGCCCTGTTCTGACAAGGCTGTGCACAAGAGGTCATGAAGGCCGTTGGGCAATCCATGGCTGGGCGCGATGAAGGCGGAGAGGGGAGTGAGGAGCACGTTCAAGTTGAAGATGGCTGCGGCAGGCACCTCACCGGGCAGGGCGGGGTCAGAGGTGGCGGCGCTAACTTGCAGGCAACTCAAGCAGCAGAAAAAAGGCAATCGTCTTTTCTTGCATGTGGGCCATGTTCAGCTGGGAGGGCCGGCTAGGCTGTCCAGTGCTAGGCGGCAGGCTTTGTGGCGGCACATGCGGTCTGGAGCGGGCCCTGCGAGCTTCATTCCGGCTGAGCCGATCAGTATCCCGCAGGCTGTGCGCCATTGGGTCTCGGAGGCAATGTGAGCCATATGCACGGCTCCCCACGGGCCATTTGCAAGGATGATGCTGTTGATGTCGGAGGCTGTGCCAGTCTTACGTGGCGGAGGGGCCTCCGTGGGGCTGGCATCCTCTTCCGAGGAGTTTTGAGAAGTGTCTGAGTAGAGGCTGGAGTCGTCTGAGGCGTCGTTGGTGCCGGCGGCCTCGCCGCTTGCCTGCATGAAATGAACATCCCTGCGGTACAGAAAACGGCGCAGGCGAGGCTCCAGGTGGGAGAGGGCTAGGCTGCTCGGGGCAGCGTGTCTGGGCACCGAGAAGGGCGGTTCGGTGGTGGGGGCTTGACCCCCACGGGCGATTGGGCGAGAGGGGCGCCAGCCGTCTGCTACCCTCTGGGACACGGTGGTTTGCACCCATAGGCTATCGACCGTGTCATCTCTGCCGTAAAGCTCGGCACTGCTTTTGTGATGGCCGGCGGTGCGGCGGGCGTTTTTGGGCAGGCGTTGTTGTTTGGCTGCGCTGAGGAGGCCGACTTTGAGGCTGTGGATTGTGAAGGCGCTGGCCTCGTCACTGCATGCAGTGTTAGGGGCCTTAGGGCTGGTAAGTTGCATGCAGGCTCGCAAGGCAGGCAGGGCCTGTGAGTAGGACATAGGCGACCGAAAGGCGAAGTCTGATGTGGCTTTGGAGGCCCAGTTGGGCAAGATGGGCAGCAGGAAATCGGGCTCGAGTTCCGAGTTCCAGAAAGTTTCCGTGGCCAGCCAGCACCTGTGTAGGCATAGGAGATAGTTTAGGCACCATGAGCTTGCTGTGCAGCGACCTGACAGACCTGTCAGAGTCACGGCGAAAGGCTGTCCTGTGCGCGATGTCTTAGTGGACCAGCAGATCCCGCGAAGGGACTGGGCTGTGAGGCTGAGGCTGGAGAGGCGGACTCGTTGCAAGTCGCCGAAGCGCAGGCAGGCGTGGTATGCCAAGACCCAAGCAGTAGAACCAGCTGTGTGCCGGAGGCTGGGCTGCAGACAATCTCTTCCCAGGCGACGACACAGGCCATGGGCAGGGGCAGGGCTTCTTTGCGATCTCTGGCAAAGGCTTGAATGATGGCGTTTGAGACCATGCCGAGGAGGGCTTCCATCTGTGCCGTCCGGGCGAGCCAGGAGAGAGCGCGCAGCATGGTTTTGGGTGAGACGCGGCAGACGTCACGATCTTGTGCTCTTGATTCAAGAGCGGCATCGAGAAAGTCGGCTAGGCGGGCAAGAGTCAGCGTGTCTAGGCTGATGTCCTGGGCTTGCAGGAAGGCAACAAATTGAGTGCATGTCGAGAGGTAGGCTTCCAGGCTGGAAGGTGCGTACTTGGCGATTGCCCGCAGTCGATGTTTGTCGGGCGTGAGGGAAAGGGACGTCTCTTCCCAAAGCTGGCTGAAGCTGCCTATGAAGGCAAGCAATTGGAGCCATGCGCGACCGCATGCTGTTCGGCGCTCGTCATCTTGCAGGCGTCTGGTGGTGAGGCTGGGCCGAGCAGGCAGTCTCTGTTGCGTGGATGGCGGCCGAGAGGCTGCTGCCTTGCTGAAGGCGGGCCCGGGCACCTCTTCCGTCGAGGTCTGGTGTAGCGGGGTCTGACGCAGTGGAGCGGGCCTATTAAGGGAGGTGCTTAAGGGCGGGGTCGGGGAATCGGGGCAGGTTTAGGCTGTGGGATATGTGATGAGGTGCTTGCACAGGCATGCGTGCGCGGGCTTTGGGCGGCCTTAGCGGTGAAGACAACTGAGTTGAGCTGACAGATTTACCGGGGTGACTAGCTGGCGTGAAGGAGAGGCCTGCAGGCGGTAGGCTGATCAGGTCCCAGGAGCCAGAGTGCGGGGACGACTCCGGGGGGCCTGGGGCAGGATTCTGGCATGGCAGATCTGGGGCTGTGGGCACATTCTTCGGATGTGCGGTCCTCTATGAGAGATAGAGCGTCGTCTTCCAGGTAGGCGGCCCCTAGTTCCGCATCCGACTCGATGCTGAGCCGGCGGTGTGGAGAAGGCAGTCCGAGCTGGGCCCGAGTCTAGCTCGCTTGCTGTCCGGAGTTGGGCTCCAGGAGGCACGGGGCTTAAAAAGGGCATGTGACATGTTGGGGCGCAGGAAGTCAACCGGCTCTCAAGAACGGCTGCGGAAAGCAACGAGACGGATCATCCAGGCCGCATGTCAGGGCTGCATGTGTGCAAACATGGATGCAAGACAAAAAACAAGCATGCAAGCTAGGCACCCCTTTTCCTTTATCTCGTTCGCGTCGACGATGTCGAAGATGAGCTGCACCTGGTCAGGGGGCAGGAAGGAGGCAGCAGGGGGAGCATGTATGTATCCCTGGCGGCAGAGACTTTTTTGGCACATGTGCGATCTAGGCAGTGTGGGCAAGAAACTTGTGTCTTGAGCAAGAAAGGCCCTGAAATTGGGCAATGATCCTTCTAGGCGTGCCAAAACACGTGTGGGCGGGGCAGGCCAGTGAGCGCCCTTAGGGCCTGGCGAAATGCCCCCAGGGGGATTCCTTGTGCCGGTCGAATTCGTGGCAGCGGCTGCATTGGTGGCGATCGTGCCTATCGGCGTCAGGATCATCCACGTTTTGGGCACACACGAGGCCCCATGGGCAAAAGGGCTGAGTGCTGCAGGGCCTGGCACATCGTAGGCGTCTGTTGTGGTCCATGTAGAGGAGTCGTGTGTCCTCCTGGGCAATCCGGAAAGTGTCCGGTAGGCAGATGCTGGGCACGATGGTGCAACCGCGATACCTCCTGTCGGGCGGCTCGGGGATGCAGAGGCGTGGGCAGGGAGGCAGTCTGTCTGCTGCCGGCAGTGGTGCAAAGGAAGAGCGGGCCTGCGAGGCTCTTGTGCGTCCCCTTTGTCGGAGCGTAGGCCGAGCAGGTCTGTATCTGCGTCAGTCCGGCCATCGTCGGCTGCTCGGTTGCTGGGCGCCGGGCCGTCGGAGGGCTCCGGGAGGCTGGGCGGGTTGTCAAAAGGATATGGGCCCGAGAAGACGGAAAAGGACTCCTGGTCCAGCATGAACTTGGAGCCGATGATCCCCTGGGCGGCTTGGGACTTGATGAGCTCGTAGTCCAGGCGGTGGATCATGATGGATTTGTTGTCGTCTCTGACGATGCACTCCCGTCCATCTTCAAAGCACGACATAGGCAAAGGCCCGTGCTCGTGCCTGGGCTGAGTAGGCTGGCCGCAGGCATCTGAGGCGTCTGCTGCTAAGGGCGGAGGCGATGAGTCCTCTCTGGGCGAGGGGGCCTCATATGTGAACCAGAAGGTAGACCAGTCCACCTCCTTGGCACCTCTAGGCGGCTGACCTAGGCCGTAGAAGTGATACCATGCGCGGTCATCATATCGCTTCATGGGCAGGTGGTAGGCGTCGGGCGGTGTGGGCTTTGTGGGCTTGGCTTTCACCGGCACGCCTTTGGGCTGTGCGGGAGGCTGTGGCTCCGGCGGGGCAGGCTCAGTAGGCGCCACTGAATTTTAGGACTCTTCCAGATCCGGGTCAGGCAGTGTGCTAGGCCCTGCAAAGTAGGCAGCGACCGCGTCGGTGGCTTCCTTCGGCAAGATCAGCCCAAGCCTTCCTTTCCAAGGCTGTGGCGTCGGCAGGAATCTTGCCACCAGGCGCCCTAGGCAGTGGAGGCAGGTCGGGGCCCGTGGCAGGCGTTTCAGGCTTGGAGTGCGCGATGTACTCGAGCAACTCGGTAGGCACGAGAACTTGGTCTCGGCAGAAGTGCAGTGTAGGCAGTGCGCGGCCGTCGGCAAAGGCTTTGCGGACGTGGTTTGCCGTCCATAGGCAGGACGTGGCTTGATCAACAAAGCTCCAGTCACGGCGCTGGGCGTCTGGGTTGCTCCCTTGTGCAGGGGCAGGCGGGCACTGCGAAGCCGAGGCAAGCAGCCCTTCCCGTCGTGCCTGGGCGGCGGCTTTGCAGTCTGCAAGCTCTTGGGCTTGTTGGGGCGTCAGCAAGGCGGGGGCCGACTGGGCAGGCTGCACAACGGGACCGGAGTCCGCGGCACTGGAGGCTTGGGCAGACTCCGTGGGGCAGGGGGCCGAGGTCGTGGGCGGCTCGGCTGGCGTGGGCTGACCAGTGGGCACGGTCTGCCCGGCAAGCCCTCCAATGAGGCTTTGCTTGGCACTGTCGTCCAACTGCGCCCAGAGGGCAGCAAACTGGGCAAGAGCGTTGTCCGGCGTTTGGGCCATTGGGCGGAAAACGCGGGAGAAGGCAAAGAAGGCAGGGGGCTAGCAGAGGGCTTGAGAAAGAGCGCTGAGGACATGGAACCAGCGCAGGTCACGTAACCACATGAGGCATGCAGAAGTGACCCCTAACAGCAAAAGGTGTGTGCAGTGCGCAACAGTGAGGCGGGCCTTAACCGGGCGTCGTTGGGCTCGGGCTGTAAGGCGTACCTGAAGTCAACAGGGTCATAAGGCACTCGCGTGTTCCTCCAAAAGGCAGAGAAGCGTGTGCGGGCACGTGCACACGGGCCATCCGGTAGGCCAATGAAAGAAAGTTCCTGTGGCCTGACCGAAACAGAAAGTGCATGGTTATATTCACAACAGGACTGGACCCAAGAGACTGTAGGTGCCGGGCGGAGACGATGAGGTCCTGGTAGAAGTGCTCGACCAAATACCTGGCAGGGAGGGGTCGAGGGTCTTAGAGCAAAACCCTGCAGTCACATGTGGCAGGGCACCGCTTGGGCTCGGGGCGGCATGGGCCAGGCGGTCGGCGTGTTGGGCTAGAAATCCGAGGCGGATGTGCTGGAGCCGTCGTCGAGCTCCGAAGAGACATGGCTGGGCGGCATGGGCAGCCCCGAGAGGTACCACCTGCAGTCGGAGGCGGTCCACCAGTCGATGGCGTGCATGGAGTGCCTAGAGGCTGGCGATAGGCAGGCCCATATGCGGGACAAGATGTGACTCAAGGAGACCAGGCAGCGCCAACGGACCTGCAGAGGCAGGAGTGCAGCAATAGGCAGGCCGTGCAGGGCAAAGACATGAGCATGTGTGCGCTGCAAGGGCGTCATGTGTAGAGAACACTGCCGGCGGCATTGTGTGTTCTGGTACCGAGCACAAAAGGAGCGTATGGGCGGTGTGAAAACCATGTTGACCCCGTGGCGCGGCCCGGCAGGCAGGGGAGGCAGAATCTGGGCTGCATTGCTCAGCAGGTGCTGAGGCGGCGGGGCCTTAGGCCGAGGCTGGGGCACAGTAGGCGGCGCGGCAGCGGGTGCCAGGCTGACCCGTGAGAGGGCATGGCTATGTGCAAAAGCTTCATGGGCGGACGAGGCAGCTGGGTCCGGGGCTGTGTCGCTGCTGTCCTCTGTGCAGCTCCAAGGCTCGGAGTTCCATGGGCACTCGTCATAATCAGAGCCGGCCATGGGCAGGCTGCTGGGCAGGATGTAGGCGGTCGAACGGGTGAACTTGAAGCCAAAAAGGAGCTGTCGGAGCATGACCTGGGCGGGCATGTTATTTAGGGCTTAAGGCTTAGGGGGCAAGTTCCGTTCAAGGCGGTTAATCCTCTCTTCTAGGCAAAGGATTTCGCGGCGTATCCTGGCAAGGGGGTTGGCTTCTGACCATTGATCTGCCGGCACTTGGAAGGTTCTGAGGGTGGCGAGATGGGCATTGTAGGGCAAAGCTGCCATACGTCTGGCGATGTTGAGCTGTGCAGGCAAGGGCTCCACCGTGGCGCTGAGGCGGAGAAATTCGGCCTGAGCCCGAATCTTGTAGGCCAGGAAATCCGAAGCCAGAGGTCCTCATTAAGGCGGGCATAGGCTACATGGGCTTGGGTTAGGGCAGAGTTAAGCAGTGAATTACACACCGCGAGGCTGTGTTTAAACTGCTCGGCTTGGCCGCCGAGTAGGCGAGAGTGGATCTCTTGGGCTCGGAGCTGGTTGTGCTGGTAGGTCAGGAGGTCCTGCATGAGAGCGACATCCTGCAAGATTGAGGACAGCTGAGCGTCCAGGGAGGCCCGGCTATCTGGGCCAGGGGCTCTTGTGCTGTAAAGGAGCTCTGAAGGCGGCGCGTGAGCCGTAGGCAGGGCTGTCACGGAAGCTGCAGTAGGCAGGGCTGTCACTGAAGCTGCAGGGCACTGCGAGGATGTAGGCCTTGATGAAGTCGGGCATCCAGTGGGCGCAAGTGCTTCAGGAGGGCGTCTCGTGGGCGCAGTCGGCAAGGAGCTCGGGCATCCAGTGTGAGCTTGTGCGGTCGAGAGGCCCTCAGGCTGCCACAAAGCGATGCGTCTTTGATGCAAGTTGAGCAGCTGTTGCCAGCTGCCGCAGTAATCCTCATCCGAGGCGTCATGGGCTGTCCGTATAGGCATGGGACTGTCCGAGGCCATGGGCGCGGGCGACTCTCTGGGCATGCCAGGGAGGAAAACACCGGGCTTAATAGGCCTGGAACCTCTTTCGGGGCGTAGCGGCCTCGAAAAGATGCTCACACGCTATGCATGGCCCCAACGCGGGTTAGGTCAGGGCCAGCTGAGCCAGGAGCCAGCTGGGCATGGGCAAACATGGGCGGTCATGATTCGTGCGTGTCAAAACACCTGGGAAACAAAACCCCAGTGCTTCTGCATATTGGCAAACTGAAAACGAGCCTGTAATGGTCCCATTTGAATCTCAACCGAAGCTGCAGGTCCAGTTGCTCCACTCATTGGAGTGGCACTCATCTCGGACTCATCTCGCCACCACTCATCTCCCCACCAGACGGTGCGCTAATTGCGGCACGAGGCACGGAGTTGCCCGAAGGCACGTGAGTTGCATCGTCGGCCCCCATCATAGGCCCCCACCACTCGCGCCACCCGACATACTTGCAGCCGAGGGGGCAGGCACAGGTGCAGGCACATTCGTGTCTTCTTCCACCACCCAAGACGGTCGAACGGCGCGGCTCTTAGGTACCGAATCCATCGGCATACTGTACGGAGGGTGAAAACGTACTGGGGTGAAATACGATAAGGAACAGACACCTCAAACTCATGGTAGTGTAGAACTATGGATCGAAGGAGGGTCAAAAACAAATGACGAGAGGATGGAACCAAGTGAGAACAAAGGTCAGAGCCCAGGTGCTACGAGGTCACTGTTGCAATGCTCAAGTAGAAGCATGATCCCCCAAACGACAGGTGACGTGTATGGCAAGCACCAGCTCTAACTTCCTATACCGTCCTTTCTGTTGTTTTTTCATCTGAGGCCGAAGCGAATCTGAAATTTTGAAACAAACGGAGCTAACTGGGCCGAGGTGAAGCCTTTCAGCCTATACAGATCAAGCAACAAATGCATCAACTCCGGGACGCGGGAGCGGGGTCTGGTGCCCCGGGCTAGTAGTATCAACCTAGTCTCCAGGGACTGCAACGATCTACGCAGTGAAGAAGCAGAACTCGGGGAAAGTGAAACTGGCACGATTTAGCGCTCACATCCACTGAATACCCCACAACATCCGAATTGGGCACCTCCTCCAACGTGACAGGGGGAACATAAAAATCCAACTGGAAAAGCGCCCGGACCACAGGATGGCATCGAGCTCAAGCAGTTAGAAAAGTCACTCGATTGTCCACATAGCGATCAACCCAAACCACTCCCAGTTGACGAATGCTTGCCATGGAAACGTCCCATGCTCGAAAAGAAAAATACTCTTCCAACATTGCCACCAGGGAGCATAAAGGTGGGGAAATAGGGCTGCCTATCGGGAACCCTTCTTGTTGTTGTAGTACCAGACTGTTACTGGTGAAGAATAAGTTGGCAACCATAAGCAACACTAAGGAGGAATGTTTAGCGGCCAAAAAGGTCTTGTAACGTCGATTATCACGTGTCTGCCACTGTCCGCGGAAGACTTGCGGTTGATCCGGTTACTTAGAAGTGTGCATCGAAAAGAATCAAGTGGAAGAGGACCAAAAGTGCACTCTTAAACCGGAAAGCAGGAATGCTTGTGAAACCAGGAAGATCTTAATTACCAAGTTGCAGTTCTTCCATTGGCTCCGAACCAAGACTGCAGATTCCATCATGAAAAACCTTCTCCAAACGGTGGTACAGAACCACTTCCAAGAAAAAAACACAGCTTGGAAATGATCGTCTGGAAATGGAAAATGATTGGTTATGCCTTAAGAACCGGAAGAGTTTGGACAAAATGTAAGCGTACGAAAGCCAATGTAAAACTCCAATGGTCGCTAGACTGCCTGTAGAAACGTTAAATTCCGTTTTAAACGGCGGGTTATTGTGTGCAATAGCAAAATAGAAGAAAGGATAAGATCTTCTTCCCCCAGTTCCACACACAACTGGAAACAAAAAGCAAAGGCGGTCTTTGGAAAGTGATCTACAGGCAAAACAACAAAACCTTGTGCCCCAAGGAAAAGGAAAAGCTTAAGAGAGCAAGGAAGAGGCTA